TCTCTCTTTCCCCCGCTCCTGGGCAGGGCTGGATGTCTACAAAGTCTGTACAGAAACAATGATCATACTAGTGAAGCTCTGCATCGGCAAGACTGGCTATAATGGGAAAAAAATTAAAAAGAAACAATTATCCTATAATTTTGATTTGTAATTGAGATTCTTTTTCAAACAGCAAGGTAATAAGTAAATCCTGGTATAATCTTCATCCTTTGTGAGATTTTTGCCTCTTTACCACACAGCACTTGACTCTGGCACTCTTATGAGAGGCAGGAGAGTACCTGGCAGCCCTCCCCAGTCTGCCTTCCCCCCTACAAGTCTCCTGCACTCATTTAGATCTCTCTGCTAAGCTTCTGTAAGGAGGGAGAGCACAGCTCCTTTGATGATCTTGATCTAAAAAGCAAGTTGTCATCTAAAGTAAAAGAGAGAGACTGCAGTAGATGAGAGAAGCAATCTGCTGATTTTCTGGTCTAACAGCTCTGTTATTCTACCTGTGTCCCAAGACCATACACAAATAATTGGGAATTTGCTGTCTTAATGGTTGTTGGGTTTTTTTATTGTACCTCTGTGGCTGAGTGGGTAAATGTAAAAAGGGTTTTGTACATGTATATTTGTATATTTGGTAGACACTGCACAGCTAAAGCTTCTTTCAATTTTCTCTCTAATTTATTTTTAATTTTGTAACCCCCCTAGGGGTAAATCCTTATTACAAATGTAAAACCATCTCTTCTACAAAGCAGCTTATTTGTTGATTTTTAATTCAAGCCAGCAGATGCAATGCTGTAGCTTTTTTCTAAACACTGAGACCTTCTTTGTATTTATAGCTGTCAAGTGTGTCTCACTACAAAATTAGTGAAAAAATTAAAACTTAAAATATCATTCTAGAAAGAGCAAGAAGAGAAGGTTTTTATTTCTTTGCAGTAAGACTATGCTAGACTTCTGAATCTTGAAACATTCTTAACAGGCAACTTACTTTTAAATCTACATTACATTTGGATTAGACTGAATATGAAGACTTACATTTTCAGAAGCTCAAGTGCTGAAAGAAGTTCGGGGCTTGTTTTTTGAAGGAGGACCTCCATCAAAAGAAGGCAGTGTCAAAAGATAGCATTACTGTGTGCACTTACATAAATGCATGTTCACTGGCATTGAAACGTGCTTTGTCTCCTGGGAAATGTTGCCCTTAAGCTAACCTGCACACTTTAGGGTTTAATATTTGTTTATATGACTGGCTGAAACTCCTAGTCACAGATGTATTGCAGTAATAACAAAAAGACATGATCTGAAATAATCTCTCTTCCTACTGTATCTCATTCTAATCTAATCATGTTAAAAAAAAAAAAAGCTGAAAAAACCTCTTTAAAATGCTTTACCTGTTGGTTCATGTGTAGGCATCTACATTTGGTCTCCTGTGCTTACAGCTCAAAAAAACATGAATAATTAGTTTGCTTTGAGTTGTCATCAAGGGAAATACATTAAAAAAAACAAACAAAAAACCTCAGGTTGTCTCTTTTTGCTTTTTTTAAATGAAGTATGATGGTTTTGTTCCCATCATTGTTTTTACACAAAGGCATTATTTATTTCTATTCAGGATGTGAATCTTAGAATAAAGCTCTTGTTTGTCTCTGCTTCTCCTTTTAATCTTCACAAGTCAAGGCTTCCCACTTATCTCTTTAACTCCCTTTTCCATTCTCCTTGTTTTCTGAATTCACTGAGGATGCAATCTGTGATTGCTGTTCAGAGGTCCTGTCCTGCTGGCAGCCCCTCACCTTCTCTAGGTTATCTTCCACTGTTGGTTTTTATTGTTTTTTTGCTAAACTGGGACATTTGAGTACGGTGACTTCATTTCAGCCACCTGCCAAAACCAGGACTCCTGTGCCTCTGCCTTGATTTGTCCACAGCATTGGACCGACAGTCTCTGCAATGATCATCTTCCTACTGCCCATCTCCCCAAAAGGTCTCTCCCTTTGGAAGTGATTCCTGAGCTTTTTGCTCTGCCCAGCATTCACAGCAGAAGCTGCGCTTTTGCAGTTTGGAATATCTCAGACATCTAAATCAAAGATAACCTACCATGTGTCAAGTATTTTTCTTATTTTCATCAAGAGCAAAGAAAGAACCAAGAAAGCAAAAGAGAGACCTGTGTGTGCCAGTTTAAATTGTAGAAGATTTAATCCCCATCACTGGAAACTCTTAACTTTGCCCATTAGCCAGAACTCATAGCCATACATTCATTTTTAAAGCTAACTTAGTTGGCCACATCTGAGCCATACAGTGATCTGTGGCTGGAAACTGAAGAAGGCACAGGCAAACCAAAGGCACCAAGAGGCATTTGCCCATAGTCCTGGCTCAGGCAACATATTGCCAGTGCAGTTCTTGAGCCTGCTGCTTCTCGCTGCTTTTGTAGGTACCATCAAGGTCCTATCATAACAAAAAGGGATTCAGGTGGTGTGATAGTCACATGTCCTCTGAACAGAGAGAAAGACAGCTCTCTGAGGATTTCTCCTGAGAGAAGCTGTGAGAGAAGCAGAAAAAGGAGAATCAAAACAATTCTTATCTCATTTACTCCTCCTGTGTTTGTGCACATGTGGAATGTGTTATAGAAATTGTTTACCCAAGTTGATTTATTAATTAAATACTAGTAATAGTGTTTTAAATTAATTAACAAATTAAATCACAAATACAAATACATCAAAACTATCAACAAAAAAATCACAAATTTTCTAACTAATTAAGAATAGTTTTTATTAATGTAATATGATATAGTTTTAATATAATATAATAAAATAATTAATTTACTAACCTTCTAACATCATAGAGTTCTACACATCATCATTCCCGCCAGTCAGACACCACAATTACTATAAGGTGGGATTTCCACGGTTGGAACAGAGACTGCAGTTTGATATCTTAATTTTTTTTAGCTTTATCTTTACAATTGAAATGAAAAATCACTCTGCAATGTTAACCACATCTTTCCATTGTTGCTTTCCAGTTGATGCTTTAAAAGCATTGTCTGGACAGCATAAAAACTTGAGATACAGTTTCAATATCTGTAAAGGATTTTTCTGTGTGGTTTACACTGATTTCAGTAGAAATTAGGACACCTAATCTCAAATTCCCTTTTAAAATCTCTCCATAAATATATTTTTTAAATAATGGAAATAATTTTACATGCTCAAATAATCATAAAAGTATGTAGATGTAGTCATAATTATGTCTAAAGATGGGATTTTGTAAGTGTAACAGGGAAGTGTGGTGTGATGAAATGTACTTATTCATTATTCATTGTCTTAAGTATTACTCTACCCACCGTCTTGTTTCTGCTATTTTTCTGATGCTTACTGAAAGAAAGAGAGAGAAAGAGGAGAAAGGAGGGAGACAAGGAAGGAGGGGAAGGAGGGAAGAAAGGGAAAGAAGACTTTCAGCATTTACAGTTTTGCACTCAATGTCATTATCACTGTAACAAATAATTAGGCTGTTGCCTAATAATATCCCACTGAAAGAGGGTATGTGTGAGCACCTGCTAATGAACAAAAGTGGAATTATTCAGATGCTTCATTCAGGTAGATACCCATTCAAGTCACTCATCAGTGCCAAGCTTTAACAGCTATGATTTTTGAATTAACTTTTGAAGTAATCAGCTGGTTTTCTGTGTTTGAGTCTTATACAATCTGAGATGCCTGTGCTATATAGAGCTTGCTGTTTCTGCCATGGTATAGCAGCCCATATATCACTGGGCCCATTTGAACCAGAGAGTGAATACACTTGAGATGAAGGAAAATGATGAAGGAGAATTGGGAAGCCTGAACAAGTTTTGGTGGCAATCGACAATAATGATCCTTTTCTTCAGTGTTTTCCATCACCCATTTTGATGATCACAGGCACTTAGAAAAGCTACAGCAATATGACAAAGTCTCAGAATACTGGGGTTTGCTTTGAAAGTTTCAAGACAGTTCAAATACCATTTATAGTACTTTTGCACTACTTAGATTCCTTTTTAGGCTACAGACTCTGAAAGTCCTCCAGTTGTATAGTGTTCAGTCACAGTCTGTCCCTTTCACAGTGAAGTCTCATGTGTAGAACTTACTGTAATGCAAATAAGTCACAGGTTTGCCCACCCTCATTAATGAGCTGTTTGCTTTTGAATGGAGAACAATAAACCCTAGTCTACCATGAGGAATGCTTTGACCTTTTGAAAGTTGTGGGTTTGATCTGCAGGCTGTATTGTAGTGTCAGTTTTCAAGTGGTGAAGATTAAATACTGGGTGATTGATAGGGTTCCCATAGAAGGAGGCAAACCTGCCTGGTTTAGAAAAAAACATTCTGGGAGTGGAGCAAGTGCCACCCAAAATATGTGTCAGTGCAGCCTTTCTCAAGACAAGGCTGATACTTTGAACCTCTAGGATCAGAATAATCATCCTCAGAACAGGATCTGTCATATGCTCCAGCGTGATGCCATTACTCTCCTGCTCATTATTCTATCATATTCCATCTCAATATTCCATCATATTTAATATTTCATCCATATTCCTGCTCAATATTCCGACATATTTAAAATACTGATAATCTCCCACCCTGGCAAAAACCTGTTGCATCATATGTGCAACATACAACATTTTATCAGTGTGTATGGAAAGTATAAATGTATAAACTGATCTATTCTTTAGCACTTTATATGTACACATGTATGTGTATATATAAAACTAAAGGTAAGAGCACATACCTGGTTCTGCTCAAGCTGCACTTGTTTTTCTTGCTGGTGTTTACATCTGAAGTGAAGTGTCAGTCTGACCCTCACATATTACTTTGCCAGGCTGGCTGTTTTAATATCTGCTAGAGAAATAGGGTGTGTTAGTTTTCACTTCCTTGCAGTACCTCTTTGTATATGGTGGCTTTCAACTGCTTAGTGTAAATGTGAGAGATCTAGATAATTTTTCTGGACAGTCAACTATCTGGGGCATGTAAACCTAACTCTTACATAACTGTTCTTGTTTGCTACCACAGGAGAAGAAAACTTGCTGGCAATTTTGAAGAGGAGATGGTGGAAGTACATGATCCTGGGGATAATAGATATAGAAGCCAACTACCTGGTAGTCAAAGCTTATCAATACACAACTCTTACCAGTGTACAGGTAAGGACTGAAAGGATTTCCTCTTTTGAGGCAAGATAATAGGTCCAGTGGGGTCAGTGGTGTAGTATCCATTGGCTTTAATGAGCCAAGAGCCAATTGCTACCTCTGACTTCTGTGTACTTTTTAATGCTGACTTGCAAGACATTTTTTCATATTGGACTATTTTTATTGCTCAATATTTTCTAAACTGTACAAAAACATTCTGACATTCATTTTATTTCTCTGTGCTAAACCATTCATAATCATGTTTTTGTCATTATCTACATAATTTAATCCTTTGAGGAAATATTTTCAGATTGGCTGAAATATTTTTCTCACTTTGTATTGTACTTCAAGAAAATTCAAGCACTGCTTTTAGGATTGCTTAATTAGATCTGAGTTTCTAAAGGTCAAGGATGGGCTGACCCTGTCTGGACACTAGGTGTCAACCAGAGCCACTCTATTATTCTCCTCCACAGCTGGACCAGGGGAGAAGGAATATAAGGGAACTTTTGTGGGTCAAGATAAGGATGGGGACAGATTACCTTCACAAGCAAAACAGACTCAACTCAGACAAATTAGTTCAATTTATTACCAGTCAAATTACTCAAATTCTTCCCCTACTCCAGTGTGGGATCCTCCCACAGGAGACGCTTCTCCATCCACTTCTCTACTATAAGTCCTCTGTACAGACTGTGGTTCTTGACAAACTGCCCCAGCACAGGTCCCTTTCCTGGGGTGCAGCCCTTCAGGAATAGGCAGCTTCAGTGTGGGTCCCCTCCAGGGTTACAAGTTGTGCCAGCAAACCTGCTCCAGCATGGGATTCTTTTTCCATGGGGCCACAGGTCCTGCCAGGAGCCTGCTGTAGCACAGGATTTCCATGGGACAACAGCCTCCTTTGGGCAGTGCTCCAGCAGGGGGTTCTGCACAGCCTGCAGGTGAATCTCTGCTCCACCGTGAACCTCCATGGGCTGCAGAGGGACATTCCAACTCATCATGGTCTGCACGGGAATCTCTGCTCTGGCACACGAAGCACCTCCGCCCTTTCCTTCTGCACTGCTCTTCATGTTCTCACTCCTCTCTCCAGCTGCAGTTTCTTGCACAGGGTTGCTTTTTTTTCTCCCTGCTTACCTGTGTTATCCTAGAGGTGCTGCCACTCTCATTAATGGGCTCGGCCTTGGCCAGCAGCGGGTCTGTCTTGGAGACAACTGGCCTTGGCTCTGTCAGCTTCTAGCTGCTTCTCAGAGAAGCCACCCCTATAGCCCCCACTGCTCTGCTGTCACAGCCTTGCCAAGCAAACCAAACAGAGGATGTTTAGGATCCCGTAATTAGACCAGAGTGCAAAAGTTGTCATTAAGTAAAATGAATGCAGTTTTTATGAAGTCCAACTTCAATGCAAGCCATTAATGTGTTATATAACAGCTTAACTGCAGCTATTGAAAAGTATAGCCCCTGCTAAAAAATGATCTGTACGGTGGACAAAAGCGAGGGTATAGATTTCTTCAAAGATAAAATCTGGGTATTTTATATATAAAACACAAAAGAATCAGGTTCTTTCCAATGTAAGTGGAAAAGTGAATAACAGAAACATTTTTAAGATACTGGAAATTGTCTGTATTCAGAAATCCTTGAATACTTCATTGCTACTTGTTCTAAAACAAGCCTAGGTCCTCTTTACATAATTTTTAAATAACTGAACAATGCTAGGTAGCATTCAATGTATTTTACACCTTACTTGCCTGAAGTTTGCATTAGAGTTAATAAAAAAAAAGGAGTACTAGTTAATGTTCTGCAGAATCAAAGCTAGTTAAGAGTATATTTCTTCCATAGCTGAAAAGCGGTATTGGAAAATCCTGAGCTTCTTTAGCTGAATAAGAAGTGAAAAGAGAAGAAAACTATGAATTCAAGGAATCTGAATGTGAGGTTTATGCTAAATATTCACAAGTGCCTCTGGCATCAGAATCTGGGTTTGAGGATTCTTTGGATCATGCCCAGACAATGTAATATTGTTTTTAACACTTTTCCAAATCTGATTACTTAGTATAGAATAAAGCTTAAATCCACATAAACCTCATATTCTCTGATTTTACAGCCACTAAAAGCCTCAAAGAGAAAAGCAAACTGAATTGCTTCTTTGGTGTGATTCACTCACAGCAAGAATAAATAGTGGACTGAGCAGGATGATTTGGGTCATTAAATCCCATCTCCCAAAGCCACCAACAAGCGCATGTCAAACGTTCATCTGGCCAGACCTGTGACTCCCCCACTTCCAGAAGATGCAGATCCTCGAGCCAGCAATGCAATGAGCCTGGCCTTTAGTGTATTGTGTCAAGAGATGAAAAGTTACAGTGTGATAGGGAAGCAGGCAGGAGAGTACAAGGGCATTGACTGTGCCTTGACAGGGAATTTGTTAGCTGAAATCATCCATGTTCTCCTTTTAAACTGAGGGGGAGAGAGAGGAGGGGTGAATCAGGAGAGCTGTCAGAGGGCACAGACAATGTTATGTCCATTTTTAGACCTCTTCTACATCAAAATTACAACAGAGCTCAGGTTTCTTTCCCATGTAGCTTGAAAGAAGGAACAGGTAGGAGCTCAAATATTGTCAAACTTTTTTCCAGGCATTTTCCCATAGTTGTCTTTGTTTGCTGGGATATATGTGGAGTGACTGGGAATACCTGCTGCATTTTTAATTCATTTCATGCCCTAATATGAATGAGCCTCTAAGAGACAAACCCCAAGATACAATGAGAATGGGACAAGTATGAGGTAATGCATTAAGATGTTGAATCAAATGACACATTTTCTGAAATGTAGCCAAACACCCTATTTTATTTAAAGATAAAACAGAAGCAGCTCAGGGAATTATTCAGCATTGGTCTAAGAGTGTCATTGTATGAAATGAAGACTGAAAAAGTGGAAAATAGAAGATGAAGAAAATTTTTTATAGAATCTGATTTTTGAAGAAGGAAACAACTCTCAAGAGAAAGGAACTCTCCTGATCCTGCAGGAGCTCTACCTATGAGGCCATAAATGCTTGCTGGCACATAGCAAAAAGTGTTCAAATCCTTTCAGAACTGTGACCAAGAGGCTATTCTTACCTGCCACAAATCAGCATGGCTTTGACTGAAGGCTGTGGGAGCTATGCCTGTGTACACATTGGTCTAAGAATTGAGCCCTTCAAGTCAATTCTGAGGGATTTTATGTTCAACAGGATGTACATCAAGGCTTTTTTGATAGAGAAAATGTAAGAGTTTTTGAAATTGTCATTTGAGTAAATAAGAAATTTTGCAGTATTTTTATAGTGGTGGTACATGGACCATTTTGGTAGGATGTCAGTTTTACAGCATATCCTTTTTTCCACATGACATCTCTGCTCTATCATGCAAAGCTAACATGCAAGTGTGCAGTGCTTGTGGTGCTTTTAGGCAAAAAAACCCATTACATTGGTGTCAGCAGAAAGCCAAAGCTTAAAAGTAAAAATACACCTTTATTGCAAATTCTTTGATTTCAGCTTCACCAAAAAATCATAGCATTCAACAAATTTGTTTGCCAAGTAGCTTTTAAGTTTACGACTATCAGAGTTTCTTGGTTTTGCTCCATCCTTTTGTTTTTTAATATTCAGTATTATTTTATCATGTTTCCACAAATGGACTGAAAATGGTGCCCTACTGTTGCTCAGTATTTCACACCCAAATTTTCCTATATGTTAAGATTCTCTTTTGACTTTGATCTGGGAAAACAGGATTTTCTAATATACCTTCCTACATATCTTTCTCCAAATGCTTTCAGAATCGCAGTGAATGAGGACATGTAGGCAGAAATAAAAAATGAATGTGGTACCTAACCTTTACATTTGGACATGCTTCTGATTATTTCAAATCCTTACACACTCTATAATTACTATCAGAGAATGTGGCAGTCAATTTCATCATAAAATGAAACCAAAGTACTGTGAAGCCCAGAAACACATAATTTTCCTCTCTAAAAAAACACCAACAAACAACTAAAACACCTCCCTTACAAATTATGTGACATAGAATTTAGATTGAAAATCAATGCACTATTTATGTTTCAGTCATTTCATTGGAGGTCATTTGCTAAGGATAAAGTCCAAGTTGCCCCTTTTCAGCATCAGCAGTGCAATCCGAAGACAACTTGATTCAATGGAACAATGCAATTGTTCACATCTAATTGTCTACAAGTCTAAAATGTTGTGGGCATCTATTATCCCTTCCCTTGCTGCTCAGAGCACGATCTTGGGGCATGAAAACATGTTTTAGCCTATCAGGTTTCTTCTTCTTTGGTAACTTTAAGCTCTGGTTCTTTGCATGCCCAGAGTGATTCTGTATTGATACAGATAGATGTCTAAATACCTGCCTCCACTAAAAAACTCAAAAGCTAAGTATTCCTGCATCAAAGTACCCCAAGGAACTCAATTTGTTAGATACGATCTTAGGACGCCCTAAGTGCTTGCAGAAAGCCTGCAGTGCTTTCCAAATTTGAAGTGTGGAGCCACCTTTTTTCATTAAGTCATAGCTTTTAAAGCAGTGGCCCACAGAAAGGTTTAACTCCATCTCAGCTGAGGGCATGGCAACTCAAGCTTTCTATGGTCATGAAAATGCTCAGGCTAGTACATGAAAACTGTTCCCTAGAGGGTATTCTTAAAAAACTGAGTCAAGTAAAAGACACAGGAGTTTATATGTGAATCAATTTGATATCCAAACCCACCTATTTCAAGAAGTACCAGACATCAGTCATGCTTAATGCAATTAGACATACATTTACTGATTCCAAAATGGTCCAAACTTTTGAAATTATCTTTAGTTTCTGTTAGTTGTCTTACTCTGATTTGCAGTACATTTTGCAGCCTTCTTGCATGTCATCTATACCAGATACAGAACGTACACTAAGCACTCCCTTGTATACTAGCACCTGGTCCCCTGGACTTGTTTCAAAAGTTATGTACTTAACTTTCAGGTTTGTTAATGTGGTAATGCATGTCATATGTATCCTAATGGGTT